ATATATATCAGGTACAGTACATGAAAACATGAAAGATGGTGATTGTTTCTGTTTTATCATGGAACCGTTCTTCGTACATCGCTAACTCAGTTAGCTGGATTTGATTGGCATGATCTTGGATTGTTCTTGTTCTTCTTTTCTAGCATTTTAGATACAGTTGCTCCTTTGCCAACACACATTTCAGTTCAAACAACTTGTAAAAGTGCATGTAGCATCCTATGACCCCTTTAAGGAAGATTAAGGAAAACAGTTTGACACCATGTCTTATGAGCACATTTTCACCCTAAAGAGAGCAGCCCGGAAAAAGGAGTGCAGCTGGAGGAAAACAAAATTAGAGGTATTTTGTATTACATGGTGGGAAAGTACCCTATCCTAAAGAAAAACATAATTCACAATTAATACATACAGTACAACAGCAAAAACTGTAAGGAAAAAAAATAAATGTTTAGCTTCTATACATTTACAAATAACTACAAGTCAAGCTGCAATAACAAACAGGACCACACGGAGATGCCAACAGACCACTATACAGCCTTAACCATCCTTTCAGAATTATTAAACAGAGCAGAACACAAATTTAAAAAGTAAATAAAAACATTCATAATTAGTCAAATATGGTGATCTGAAGGCAACTCAACATCACCAGTGAACAGTTATTCTGTCAGAGTGAGTGTTGATGCCCATGTGTATATAAACACCACTGACCATTGCAAACTCCTATAAAAACATGTTTCTTCAGCAAGTGCCCATTATAAAACACTTGCCAGACATGCAACCATACTGAAATGTGCTCATGTAAAAAAAAGCTTTCAAAGAGTGCACATACACGGTCTGTTTGTTTGCACATTATTAATGGACTTGCGAGTCTAATATTGTACAATTGCTGTGTGTCACTGTGATTGTCTTTACCTCCATTACAATCGTCATCCATCTAAACTTTGCTGGTAAGATACTAGTTCCCTCTCGAGCTTCACTCGACATTGCAGAGCTTTCTCTCCTCTATGGGAACTCTTTCCCTTCCAGTCTTTCCTGAAGTCCTATTGGCTCACGCCAGTCCAATTGACTGGTCAGTTGTCACGAAGTATGCATCACATGCAAATATTGACGAGCTCGAGAGGCAGTATAAAATCCAATGCACACGTCAATTGTGTTAGAATCATTACCTGCTCGAACATTGCGGACTTTGTGTCATTCGGCCGGGAGGAAGAAGACGAGGACTCGATGTCCATCTCGGCCTCCGAGAAAGAAGATTGGGTGGGACCGGAGCGTCATTGTCCAGACAGCGATGGGCCCCCAGACCTCCAGAAAGAGCTGGCGAGTGTCATGTTCAAAGCTGTCCAGGAGCTCGAGCTTACTTGGAGCCCCCTGGAGGAACCTGCCAAGGTCCCCTTCTTCCTCCAACATCCACGAGCAGTTTGTGAAGGAGTGCTCTGCGCCCCACTCCAACACACAGGCCATTTTCATGCACATGGACAGGGTGGAGGCCCACGGTTACGTGTGCACTCCCCCCATCAAGGAAACCATCACCACGCACCTGCGTCCTGCATAGGATTGGGCATCATTTGAATGTTATCAATTCCAATTTTGATTCCGATTCTGCTTATCGATTCAGATTATTTTAGATTCCCAGTTTTGAATTCCAATTTGATTGCACAATGATATCAAACCTATATCCTGTCTCTTTTTTGCAAACCATTTATTGGAGCTGAATACCATGAACAAAAATCAACATGCTACTGGACTATTTAAGAGCTGTTTGTGTGCAAAATATAACTGCATGATTATGAAAAAAAATTTGTATTTTTTTCCCCCCCAATGGAAGTTGTGGTTCTTTCATGATTCTGAAGAAAAAAACATTAGACAACTAAACAAAATCACATGTAATTTATAACTGAATGATTCAATGACTCACTCAAGATGTACTTGATTCATTACTGGATGAATCAGCGTTCCTGAACAAATCTCTTGTATGATTCAAAGACAAATACATTTTAACAGCCCTTTCGCCACCTACTGGTGTAACAATGTAATCGACAAATCTTCATTTGAAGTGTCAAATTACTTTCAAAAGGTGATTTACTTTATTTTAATTGCTATCATACACTTCGTACACACAGTTTATATCTGAACTATAAACTTTTATCCCAGTACTTCTGTGATTTGAATTTTTGTAACAGAAATAATGATACTGTGTGGCTGAAAAGACTGTGAAGCTGTTTTCATTCATGACAGATGACAGCTGCTCTCTTTAGTTCAATGGCAGTGCGAACGCTAATTTAAATGCTCAAATCACACTGGTGTGATCGTATGCTGCACGGATGAACCAAGTGATCACAACATTGATAGCACACGTCAAAGGTTGTGGAATGAAACAGACAAATCATTGTAATTTAGGAATAGAATCACATTGGTGTTTGAATCGTGTTCGCAATCTTTAATGAGCTATTAAATTAAAGTGCTTTGTCATGTTGGTGGTGACACCTCTCTTGCAACATGTTTAGCTATCTCATGTATTATACTTAGCTTTTTGGCTTCTGATTGCAAATGTAGCCAAACTTTAGAGCGCTTAAATTAGCGAGCAAGGTCCTGGCAGATTGCTAGGTCCGGTCCTCACAGATGAAGAAAAAAAAACACAGGACTCGACAGGCGGAATCAAAATTTTAATTTGACAAGTATCTGATTCTGGAATCGGAATCGATATTCGATTCCCTACCCTAGTCCTGCAGCAGTTAAGACCCTGGGCTTGGACATCAGCCTCACTTCTGAGCCGTGCAGGGTCACCGCCAGCCTCTCTTACAAAGCTTATGTATCAGATGGTGAGGCGACTTCTGTGCTGCATGCCATGGTGGTGCTGCTGGTGTCCCAGGCGAAGCTCCTGCAGAAGGCGGAGTGTGGAGCCCTCACTCTGAATGCCATTAACGATCTGCACGACCCGACAGACTTCACTCTGAAGGCCACAAAGCATGCTGCTCAGGCGATCGGCAAGGCTATGGGCTTTTTGGTCATCCTACAGAGGCACCTATGGTTGAACCTAGCTGACCTCATGAGGCTGGATCATGAAGTTCTGCTTAATGCCCTGGTAACTTCCTTTGGCCTTTTTGGTGATGCCATGGAGTCCCTCATTGAGCACTTTGTGGAGACTCAAAGCAGCAGACCACAAGATCCAGGTCTTCTTCGGTGCCTGGCTCATTGCAGCGGAGGGACACCAGGCCCACAGCTGCGACTGCTGCTGTCAAGGACAGGAAGGTCATATTCAAACCATTCAAGCTGGCAGTTATTAAGCCTCTTATTAAGAAACCACAGCTAGATCCTAGAGAACTGGCAAATTACAGACCCATTTCAAATCTTCCGTTTTATGTCTAAAATTTTAGACAAAGTTGTGTCTGCTCAATTGCACTCCTTCTTGCAAAACAAATTAGCCCTATGAAGAATATCAGTCAGGTTTTAGGCCCCACCATAGCACAGAAACTGCACTTGTTAAACTTACAAATTACTTGCTTCTTGCATCAGACCAAGGCTGCATCTCATTGCTAGTTTCACTTTATCTTAGTGCTGCGTTCGACACTATAGATCATGACATACTCATAGATCAATTAAAAAACTATACAGGTATTTAAGGGCAGGCTTTAAAATTCTTAAATCTTACCTGTCCGATCGCTACCACTTTGTTTTTTTTAAACGGGGAGTCATCTCAATTAAATTCAGTAAAGTGTAAGATTATATTACTTTTGTAAGGGAATTAATTATTATTTTAGCTCAGGTTTTGAAAGGAATCGAATCTGAAGATTCAAAGTCAACCTGATTAGAACGGATTTCAAATTTGATAGTTTACACTCTATCAACTATTCATCCAGTGAGACGTTAACGTCTGTGTATCTTAACAATTTGAATATTAGTATTTTTCCCTGGCCACAGGTCAATACATGCTTGTGATAAGTTATAGGCTACGAGCCAGGTCGTGTGATCTGGGCAAGGTTTAACTTTAAAATTACAACACAAGACAATGATTCTTTATAAATGAAACAAGAATTTATTGGCTATTCTAGATTACATCAAACTAAACTACTGAAAACACACACACACACATACGGTTGAAAGGATGAGGATTTTAACGGAGGTTGCATGAAGTCCCAAAGTTCTACTCATTTTCTACGAGTTCTTTAAATTCAACCTGAGAAAATTCCTAAAGCAGAGACTTGGCTTATGTTTACTGCTTAAAATGAGCAACACCAGTTCAGCAGATAGAAGCTTTGTTTGTTACTTGCATTTGTGACAGCTGGAAAGCTGAATGGTTTCCTTGTGGCTACAGGAGGGAATTCCGTTGCTGACTGGCTGTTGATCTGGCGTCTGGATGACGTAGTTTCTGGGAATGCCCTCCGGCTATTGGTTGGTTTCCTTGTGACGTGATGCTGGAAGTTCTTCTCAGATTATGTTTGCAAAGACAAAGCTTTGAAGATTTCTGCAGTCATGAAGTTTGACAAAGTCTTGGAGTTCTTCTGAAAGAGTCTGAGTTTGCAAGACTTTAGGCTTTTGAAGATCTCTGGCAGTCACGAAGTTTCAACTGAACTCGTGTGATGTTAGAGCCGGTGAGCACTTTGTAGCGCGGTCACCAAGGCAAAAAGCCAAAGGTCTAGAGAGGGAGAGGGCAAGCAAGCGAGCCACGATCTGTTCAGGCATTGGGTTTTTAAGCAGGCCCGATTTGGTCCATCCCATACGCGATTGTTCCAATCAGATATTGGCTGTGGATTGGCTTAGCCACGCCCCATACTGTTCCTTTATCACGCATGAATCACATGCTCCCGTGGAGAGTATTTCTGCAAGTTTAATAACTTCTTATAAAAGTATTATCACCAGAGAATGATACTGAATATCACATTTTCCCTAACACCAATGTTTGGTGAATAAAACAAGCTTTCATTCACAATCAAATATCAAGTAGTTTGCATACACATTAATCTTATCTACTAAAAGGAAAACTTTGAAAAAGTTTCCGTCCAGATTTAGAAATCCTACAAAAGTATATCAAACGATGTAGACGTGAAAAACTCTTTCCACACAAATGACATGAATGTGGTTTCTCTTTTGTATGAATTCTCAGGTGCCGCTGCAGGTTTGAAGCCCACAAAAATGTTTTTTCCGCACTGATCACATGTGTGCAGTTTCTCTCCAGTGTGGATGTTCATGTGATGCTTAAGGTTTGCTGATTGTGTGAAACGCTTTCCACACTGATCACAAGTAAACGGTTTCTCTCCAGTATGAATTCTCATGTGAACATCAAGACTATGTTTGGATGTCAAACTCTTTCCACACTGAGTGCAGGTGAAAGATTTCTTGGCTCTTGTTTTCTTTAATATTACCCGTTTTCTTTGACAGCAACTCAAAGGTTTTTCTCCAGTTTCGAAGTGATTTTTCTCCTCAACTTCACTCAATTCTTCATTCTGCTCATTTTCTTCAATCAACTCTGAAATAAATGCAAAAACAGTTCATTTGTCAGTAACTCAAAAAAATATTGGCATGTAAATGTTTACAGGCCAGGACTCTTATCAAACATGTGAAGTTTGGAGAAGACCGGACATTGTATGAATGAGTTACAACAACTTCCTGTTTCATAGTATTAATAGCATGCTTTAGCACTTAGTAAGTGTTGCTAGCATGTTTGATCATATTTATAGCATGTTTAGCACACAATGGGATATTTTACTGTGTTGCTAATAATGCATCACAGTGTTAAACATGTCACTTCCTGTTGCCAGTAGGTGGCGCTATAACTATAACCGAATATGAGCATGTAGATGTCTTCAGGCCAGGACTCTAATCAAATATGTGAAGTTTGAGGCATATTGAGGCATGGACATTGTATGCATGAGTTACAACAACTTCCTGTTTGATGGGGTTAATAGCATGCTTTAGCACTTAGCTAAGTGTTGCTAACATGTTTGATCATATTTATAGCATGTTACCAGCCTATTTAACACTTGTTGACGCTTTTTAATATGTTCCTAGGAGTCCATAACAGTGTTAACCATGCCACTTCCTGTTGCCAGCAGGTGGCGCTATGAGTATATACACCAACCTGTTTGTTCTTCAGTATCTTCAGTGTGTTTGATTCTGCAGGGTTCTGGATCTCTCTGTCCTCTTTATTAAACTCAGTCTTTACAGGTTTCTTCCTCATGCTTTGATGCTCGTCTGCACTGATAAACTGATGGGAATATTCCAGCTGAATCTCTGTGTGGAAGAAGCAGATTTGCCATAATCAACAAGAAATCAAGAAGTGTTGTCTCTTTGTAAATCATTATATCACTATATTAAAAGAGTGTCGACACAAAAATAAGAGTGTAGAGCACATCAGTTTAAAATGCTCCTTCAGTAACACTGCAGTGTCCTTAATTTCAAATGAAAACTATGGTAATGACTTGCAGCATATTCCACTGCTGCTGACCGACATCTTAAAAACCTACACTGGAGAAGCACTAGCACCAGTAGGGGTCATCAACTTAGCAGTAAAATTAAATAAATCAGTCTGCACGATTGCCAATGTATGTGGTTAACAGTAATGCCCCACCATTATCTGGTAAAGAATGGATGAGATCTATAAAACTTAACTGGCAAGACATAAAAACAGTCAAGCATGGAGTTGCAGACACTACAGAAACTGTGTTAAATCGGCACTCCCAACGTTTTTGAGAAAGAATTGGGCACTATGGAAGGAACTGAAGTTAAAATTCGGCTAAAGCGTGATCATACTCCACAATTCTATCAGCCAAGGGTAGTACCATACGCCATTCAACCAAAAGTAGAGGCTGAATTGACACGTTTAACAGAGATGGGAGTGATTTCACCAGTACAGTACAGTGAGTGGGCCACACCGGTGGTACCAGTGATCAAGAGAGATGGTTCAGTGAGACTGTGTGGTGATTTTAAAGTGACACTCAACCCAGCCATTTGTGTGGACCACTACCCACTTCCACACACAGAAGATCTTTTTGCGTCTCTGGCTGGTGGTCAGTTATTCAGTAAGCTGGCTTTTTCAAACGCTTACTTGCAGATGCCAGTGGCACAGGAGTCGAGGAAATTACTCACCATATCCTCCCAAAAAGGGCTATTTTGCTATAACCGTCTACCTTTCGAGATTGCCCCAGCTCCTGCATTATTTCAGAAAGCGATGGATCAAGTTCTCTTGGGGATTCCAATCACTCACTGCTATCAATATGACATACTGATAACAGGACAAGATGATGTGGAGCACCTCAAGACACTAGACTGGAAAAATATGGTCTGAAATTCCAACATGAAAAAATAAACATTTTCAAACAGTCTTGAGTATTTGGGTCATTAAATCGATGCCACTGGACTACACAAATCGCTAGAGAAGATTAAAGCAATAATGAACGATTTTTTGTGTTTTGTATATCTGCGTAGATGAGATGATTGAATAATGGAGGCAGACGAGGTGTTGGGGGGGGTAGGACAGCGACTCCAACGGAGGACGAATCGGCCACCTCTACCCTCCATGATACTGTGTAACGCCAGGTCACTTCGGAATAAAATGGAAGAGCTTCAGACTAACATCAAAGGCTGCTTTGAGTATCTGGATTCTAGTGTGATGGTGTTCACAGAAACTTGGCTCAACAAAGACATTCCCCATTCGGCAGATGAAATGGGGGGAAGTTCCCTCATCCGCGCTGACAGGACAGAATCATCCGAAAAAAATCAGACGAGGTGGATTATGCATGTGAGTAACTGATAGTGCACACATTATACACTGAGAGAGAGTTTGTAACACAGATGTCGAACTCCTCCGCAATAGCCTAAGACCATTTTATCTCCCTAGGGAGTTTGGGAATGTCGTTATTTGTGCGGTGTATGTCCCACCAACAACTCATTGTTGACTGTGGCCATCGTCAGCTGCAGCACACTCCTAATGCCCCCGTTTTTATTATGGGTGATTTTAATTAGGGATGCAACAATACCATTTTTTTCAGAACCGATCCGATACTGAAAATTCTGAGTATCTGCCGATACCGATCCAATCCGATACCAGTGCAGTTTTTTTTTAATCAATGTAGAATTTCTATACTTCTCTGTGTTGACCTGATCTTCACTCTTTTGTGTGGTTAAACACAATCTACTACATATAGACAACTTCATTTTAATGAAAAATAAATGAAAAAATACAATCATAATCTATGACAAAACTACCATTATAAACTAGGTTACTGGATATTTCAGCAGCAAAAGATACTCTAGAAAAATCACGGGTGCACAATATTAAAAAAAAATCTAGTGAAACATTTTTTATTTACAAATAAAAGTGAATAAGTCTAAATCTGCTCAATTGTCACACATTGCTCTTTGTATTGTTGTAAAATACATTTATATATAAATATTAGAGGTGGAACGGTTCAACTTTCTCACGGTTCGGTTTGCATCACGGTTTTAGAGTCACAGTTTCGGTACAGTTCAGTATGTGCTATGTTTAGGGAAAAACTATACTGTCTGTCACGAATCCGGCCCATGAACTTCCATCTGCTAGCCATCAGAGGTCACCCTTTCCAATTTCATTGACTCTCGCACTACACACTGTTGCACATCTCCCCGGACTACATATCCCATCATTCATTGCACTGATTGCACTCAGCACGGATTGCACACAGCTGTTAACACTGATTGCACCCAGCTGTTTCATATCACTCCCTCACTAGTTAACACTCACTCTGATCCCTTCCCTGGGCCGAGTATTGTTTAGCACTTATCGTCTGATAGCTACACTACAGAGCCCCGTTAGCCTCCTAGCCTAGTTTTGCCTTGTCTGTTTTCTCTGGTTTTGATCTTCGCCTGTTTTCTTGGATTTCTCCCTTTAGCCTTGCCCCTGTGACTCTGTCTGCCAATCGTCGACCCACGCTAGCCCTAAGGTTATTCTTGTGTCTTGCCCGCCTTATACCTGTCTGCCATTATCCGACCCATGCCTGTTTTATGACCACGTCTCTGTCTTCTCCTAATAAAAGCTTTGCATATGGATCCGCACGTCTCACGTCTTGTCAGCCCCGTAACACTGTCAAATACAAATAAAGAAAATAAGAACAATCTATCTAACTACAAGCAACAGCACAAATAAATACAATAGAGCAAAGATACAAATAAAATAAACAGTGACTTTCAGGGTTTTTTTCAGGTAGGTCTAACATTACTTTTTAGGAACAAAAATTGAATAAAGTAATGAAATGTAAAACACCATTGCATATTTGACTGTATAAATTAAAGATTAATCAACAGCAAAGAAATCACTCACTGCTCTTGATTGAACAGCTTTTGTAACTTCAAAGGTTCAAGAAGGCTAGACAGACACAAATCAGTAATAAGCAATCGGTTTTATTTAATACATTTTTTGTTTACTGTAACAATTAAGAAAGTGCTGTCACTTTAAGAAACTCTAAGTACGTTCAGCCGCCTGTCTGCTATAGGATACTTACCAAGACGTCCATTTTGATCTAATTTTTGTGTGAATTTGTCCATTTAAACAATACTTCAGAGAGAGCTTAATATTTGCAATCTATCTAACTACAAGCAACAGCACAAATAAATACAATAGAGCAAAGATACAAATAAAATAAACAGTGATTTTCAGGGTTTTTTTCAGGTAGGTATAACATTACTTTTTAGGTACAGAAATTGAATAAAGTAATGAAATGTAAAACAGCATTGCATATTTGACTGTATAAATTAAAGATTAATCAACAGCAAAGAAATCACTCACTGCTCTTGATTGAACAGCTTTTGTAACTTCAAAGGTTCAAGAAGGCTAGACAGACACAAATCAGTAATAAGCAATCGGTTTTATTTAATACATTTCTTGTTTACTGTAACAATTAAGAAAGTGCTGTCACTTTAAGAAACTGTAAGTACGTTCAGCCGCCTATGTCTGCTATAGGATACTTACCAAGACGGCTATTTTGATCTAATTTTTGTGTGAATTTGTCCGTTTAAACACTTCGGTCTTCGGATGAGCGCACGCACAAATCTTCTCACTGCTCGAGCAAGCTCGTGTCCTCAGGCTCTTAAATGTTTAAACTGGCAAAGCTTACATGAGTTTAGTTTAAACACATATCACGTGTGCTGTTCAGGTCTCACCTGTGCACGCACGCGCTATCAGCACCCGGGTGAAGACGGAATAAATGACTGCTCATATTCCAGCATACAGCACTCGCATTGAACAAAAATTAATGGTTTGTCCACTTTTTTTTTTCATCACTGTTGTTGTAATGTATTGGGAAAGAATTGTTCTTAGAGTAGAGAAAGAAATGAAGGAAGAGGAAGAATAGGGATGCTAAACTATTGCATAATTTTAAATACGATTTGTAGTCAGTGGGTTTTAAAGTTACCATTCAGCTATAATCCAGCTATAATCATAAGAAAATGCCATCAGATAAAAAAACGACGTTACTCATTCGTTGAGTGTGGTTT